CCTGTTTCTCTTTCTGCCTCAGGAAGCCCAATTATTCTTAGGTTTGGTCTCTTGAAGTGATCATTCATCTCTTGCAGGTTTTGTTCTGTCTTTTTGAGCTTCTTTTCTATGCTTTTTGACAGTTTGGGTTAGTTCTGTGTTCTGTTTTCGAGCTCTGAGATTCTTTCTTCGGCTTGGCTGATTCTGCTTTCCATTCTTATTAGTCTGTTGTTCATTTCCATCACAGTATTCTTTACTGCTGTCATTTCTGACAACAGCTCCTTCCTATTTTCTTCTTGTCTCTCCTCAATTTTTTAAATTCTCTCCATTAATGTCTTGATGTCTGGGTTTGTTGCATGTAACAAAAGTAACCAAGAACTCTCCCACAAATATACTGGGTATCAAAGAGAGTGTTTATCTGGAATAAAAAAAGAAATGGCAAGAAATTACAAATTTTAAAAAGCTGACAACAGCCCTTGTGTGAACTCTGAACTTTAGTTAATAATGACATATCAGTGTATGTTCAATTGTAACCACAGACAAAGACAAAATGCTAATAACAGGGAAAACCATGAGGGGGCCAGAAGAGAGGCAAAGGAGAATATGGGAACTCTCTGTACTTTCTTTTCAATATTTCTGTAAACCTGAAATGGTCCTAAAAAATAAAGTCTGCTAATTTTTAAAAAGTACACACACACACACACACACACACACACACATATTCACCAACATATGTAGATAAATTGAAAAGATATTCTAGATTTTTATGACATGAAAACATTCCATTCACAATAAAGAGTAACTTTCAAATAATAAATAATTCAAGAAAAAATGATAATAACACAAACTTCACAAAAATTAAAAAAAAGTAGCATAATATTTTTATTAATTTTAACTCCCTGGTATGGCTATAGTATTTTTCCTATGCTGTTTGAATACTCTTTGATGACCTCTTTATATGATAGCAGTTTTGCAAGATTAATTTCTATAGACAGAATAGAAAGATAATCCTCTGGCATGGTTAGTCGAAATTTTATTTTATCTTTAGTTGATTGTTCAGAAAGACTTATTTCACTCTCACAGTTTGCTTTGAGTAATGTCATGTACATATTTCATCAAACTTGAGAAAACCTATAACAAGTTTCTTTGATATTTAAGCAGTGTGATTTCAGGGCATTTTGATTTTCCTTACACTGTGATCTCACCTTACTTTTTGAATTGAGAAATGGAAGGAGGTTGTTTAAGACAGGGGCCCTGAAACACAAATACCACAGAAAATTAGCCTCTACACCTTTCCTTATATAATAATTGTTTAAAGGTCCTTTCTGTTGAATATTTATGTAGTTCAGTGTTTCTTCTTGTATATGGTAAAACAATACCTTTGTGGATCTCTTCATGAAAAAGAAATTCATTGCTTCCTTTTTTTCTTCGAAGTGCACAGTGACTTGTGGCAGAGGGTTACGTTACCGGGTTGTTCTGTGTATCAACCATCGTGGACAGCACGTTGGGGGCTGCAATCCACAACTGAAGCTACACATCAAAGAAGAATGTGTCATTCCCATCCCGTGTTATAAACCAAAAGGTAAGTCTGTGGTGCATTTTCAATTCAGATCAAATGGTATTTTCCAGCTCTCATTCCAAAATTGCAACATTCCCATTTAACTTCTCTACTTACTAGCTTTCATATAAAAATTGTTTTATTGACAGATTGCAATAAACCTGTTTACCTAGTTAAAGAAGTTGGACATATGTGATACGTTGATCTGGAGGGGAAACTGAGATCCTTTGATACATATGAAGCAGCTCCTATCTGTCTAGGCTTATACTAACATTGCTTGGTGGACATAAAGTAATTTGATGCAGTCCCTGCCTTGAAGAAAAAGAAGCAGAATGATAGGCAGGAGGAAGAGAAAGAAGAGCAAGAAAAAGAGGGAAGAGGTGAAGAAGGAGGTTATTTTTTCCCCAAGGTTCTCATTCTCTCTTTGTGCATAACTCTTCAGTGGAGTGCTTGTTTTTTGAGAGAGGAATGATGTCATCCTTATCGTGTGGTCTAACACAGGGAATGAATGAAGACTTCCATTCCCCATTGAGATCTGATGGACGCGTTTATAATTCCTCCAGTAGTTCTCACTTATTCTACATGAATGAGCAGAAATGGATAGTAGCATCCATGGGTAGAAAGATTTGTCATCATCTCTAATGCATGCTCCTCTCTGTACATGGTTATTTCCGTGTTCTTTAGTAAGATGTTACCAATCCTCATGACAAGTGTCTTTCTTCTAGAAGTGGAAAAGATTATTTCCAACTGTTGGTAAGAAAGACTACTCCTTAGTACTTAGTAGAAAGGATGGTAAAATTATCTTTTGTTATTTTGAGTTTCATTATTCATACAGCCTCATAATTAACCATTTAGTAAACATTTTTTAACTATATCTATTTTGCAGAAAAATTACTTTTTTAGTGTATGTAGTTTCATTGAAGCAGCCCAAAGTTATTTCCTTTCTCACTTTATAGCTAGATTGTTTCTTTCTTCATGTCTAAGGAGGCTTCAGAGAACAGAAAGGGGCACCAGTTTGCTCCTCTATGGCAGAGACATGTGATAATCATCTCCCTCACAACTACATAAAAGTTTTAGTAAACATAACACAGACTCTGTCATCCTCCAACTTTCTTAGCTTCCATGTTATTTGCTTTTATTCATTAATTTCTGCATTCAATAGGCAAAACATTTGTGGCCAAAGAAAGCAAGCTGATATGGTTGAAGTAAGAGCTTTAATGTGCAAACAGCAGAAGTTGGTATTAATTTATAAAAGGCATTCTATGTTAACTTTGAACACATATTCATTTTGGTTACATTTTGGGATCATTTTGGTTGCATTTTGATAATGTGCTTTTTAATGAAATCCTCAGACAATATGATCATGTATCTTAACTCTTTAATGATTAATAGTAATTAAACTCATTGTTTATGTTCTCTTTTTCTTAGAAAAAAGTCCAGTGGAAGCTAAATTATCTTGGCTGAAACAAGCACAAGAACTAGAAGAGACCAGAATAGCAACAGAAGAACCAACGTGAGTCCAAGACCCATTATGGGAATAATCAGGGCATAGCCAGTTAACATGATATATGTAATTTTTGTACTCAATGCAGTACAGTGATACACTTAGTATCCAAATGACCTGGATTTGCATACTCTAGAGAGCATGAGCTGGCTAGAATTTTCTTTATTTCACAACTCAGCAGTCCTACTTTGGCAGTGTCTGTGAGAAGCACAGAAAAGAACAGTGTTATTTAACTCAAAGCACACTCAGTGATCTGTTACACTGAAGAGACTGGAGATAATTTCTAGATTAACATATGTGATTTGACCAAGGACCATCAAAGTTTTGTACAAATAAGCCAATCATTCCCTGGTTTAGTCATGACCAATCTCTATAAAACCAGTTAAGTTGAAATGCATCAGTGGCCTGAGTGATAAGGAGAAATCCCAGGGCTGTGGTTGGATGAGGAAAGGGAAAGAATATGATACTGTGAGTATTGGAGTTTAGAACCACCCTTATTAACTAAAAAAATAAATAAAAATATTTATTTTTTTCTGTGTCTAGTTCTCTTTACCTTTAAAAGGTACGGGTTGGCTTGATCTCTCCAAGGTCCATTCCAACTCAAAAATACAATGACTGGTATCCACATGTGATTTGACATGAATTTTAATGGTCTGAGTGTAGATTAAGAATCAAGATCAGCTGGGCTCGGCGGCTCAGCCTGTAATCCCTGCACTTTGGGAGGCCAAGGCAAGTGGATTGCCTGAGCCCATGGGTTCAAGACCAGTCTGGGCAACTTGGCAAGACCTTGTCTCTACAATAAATCAAAAAATCAACCAAGCACGGTAGTACATGCCTGTAATTCCAGTTACTTGGAAGGCTGAGGCGGAAGGATCGCTGGAGCCCAGCAGGTTGACGCTGGGGTGGCCATGAGTGTGCCACTGCACTCCAGCGTGAGCAGCAGAGTGGGACTCCAACTCAAAAAATAAAAAATAAAAGAATCAAGGCCAAATCAAAGACACATTTTGGAGGCAGAGATATAGGGACCAAACAATAAGAAATCAAAGGTGCTAAGAGCAACAGCACCAATGATGGACTCAAGGTATTGGACAGAAGAGCTGATTCCATGTCAGACATGCTAAGTCTGTGGTGCTGACAGCCTATTTACAAAGAGAGCAATTCACACAACATTGGAGAAAAGGGGAGTTCAGCAGTAATCTGGCCAATTTCCCTCTCAGAACAGGCATTACTTCTTCAACACCTTCAGCAATGGGCAGAGTTCATTGCATTAATAAATAGATCATTCTTGTGTTGAACAACCCAAGTTATTTGCAAGATTGTTCTCCTATTGAGACAAAGTAACCTCCTAATTTCTGTTCTCCAAAACAGACAAAAACACATGTATACTCCATTCCACATGACAGGTTTTCACAAATTTGAAGAAAGCTGTCATGGATCCTGAGAGCTTTGTCTTTCCCAAGCTCCTCTGTTTTAGCCTTTTCAGCAGTCTTTACACACTGTTGTTTTTATATCCCTTACTAACCTCCTTGCTCTATTCAGAACACAGTATAATTTGTCAGTCTCCCTTTTAACTGCAGCTCATTGCAGCCCCAGGGGAGTGTGGATTACTTTTCTTTGAGAAGACACACGTCTTTAATGATGTGGGCCAACAGAACTGGCAAATCATACTTACAAGGGGGGGACCCCCCAAACCCCCAGAATTTACATATCAAAAAATTGTGTATTTATTCTTATATGTTTAAACTTCAGTCACCTTCAAAGGACTCTCCATTTGATGCAATATACATGATCCATTTGATGCTTTTTCCACTGCTCAAAACAGTTTTTGAACTCATCAATTTTGACACCTTTTAGTGTATCTGCCATTTTTCATTTCACCTCTTCTACACCGGCAAAATGTTTCTCTTTTAGAACTTTTTTCATCCAGGGCAACAAAAAAATGTCACTTAGGGCAAGATCAGGTAAATCAGGAAGGTGGGATGGAGGGGCATACCTTTTTTGGTCAAAAACTGCAGAACACGCAGCACAGTGTAGACAGATGCACTCATTGATCACCCATCATGAAATGGGCAAATGTTTTGAAAGAATCTAAAAAAAAAAAAATTCACTGAAACTGAACGCAGCCTCTCACTACAATGCTAGTTGGTACACTGATGCCATTGGGCTTCTAGAACACTTACCTAGCAGGGGAAGCCTGTACTACAAGGGGCCCGCCCTCCAAAAAAAATAATTCCATTATTTTGGGAGGTTCCCCCTCATAAACCATGTGTAAACTGTCCCACATAGACTATGTCACAGTGTGGACTCTTTGAGGATGAATGACCCCAGAGTAATTGAGTAAAAAGGGAAGAATGTTGGGCTCATAACAGAAGCTCTGTGGTCTCGAAGAAGAGGGGATATTAGAAGAGGCAGATGGTAAAGGAGTAAAATAGTGAAGAGAGGGAGGAGAAAGACCCAGGATAGCTCACTATTGCAGAGACCAGAGGAGTAAGTATTTAATGAGGGGGTCAGAGAATAGTGTTCAAATCTTACAGGAAGCCAAAGAAAAACTATGAAGAACAAGAAAAAGCTGGTTTGACTGACAAGAAAGTCATTTTTAGTTAATTTTGGAATAGTATTATTCAAAGAGTAGAGAAGGAAACATTATAAAGATTTAGGAAATCAATTCCAAGAAAAGGAAATGGAGCAATTTGGCGACTTAAGGAAGGAGTAAAGATTGGTAGTCAAGCTGATAGAAAAGCGTGGTGTGTATGTGTTTGTTGTTGTTCATTTTGAAGTTAGTCTTAAATATATTAAAAAGATAATAGGATTTTAGACAAGTCAGTTAACATCTCTAGACCTCTGAACTGTATAAGGAAGGCATTAGGCTAAATGCTACTGGAACCTTCTCCTAGCTCTGATTTCCTATGATCCTATAAAGAAAGGAACCTATAGAGACAGGGTAGTTGTCACATAAGGAAGGTTATAGCGTTCTCAGCCAAGAGTAATGAGTCCTACCAGGATCTTTTGTTCTCAAACCCAAATTGGATGACAACTGCTAATCCTTCTGTATGTCCTCTCTTGGTTAATAAGATTACTGTCTGTCCAGTTTCCCAGACTAGAAGCTTAGAGTCATTCTTGCCTCTTTCTTATTCTCCCTTTATGTATAATTAATTACCAAGTTGTCCCAGTTGTATCTACTACAACTTTTCTTGGTTCCTGCTCCTTCTGTCCATCTAGACTACCAGTCTTGTCCAGGTCCTGAAATTACTGACCAGGACACCTACAACAGCTTTCCAGTTTGTTCCTCACTTGCTTCCCTCAAATTCACCCTCTACACAGCCACCAGAGTAACCTTGTTAAGGCACAAATCTGGTTCTTTCTTTGAAACATTCAGAATATCTAAATGTTTCTCCATCACCCAGAGATTTATGCTGTTTCACAAAGGCAACAGGACTTTGCAGAGTATTGCCCTTTCCTGGACCCCAGCCTCGTCTCTGGCCTCCTCCTTTCTCTGTCTCAAATGGCATCCTCCAGCCACATGGACCTGCTGGCCCTTCCTTGCCCTCAGCAAGCTACCACTCACTTCCATCCCTTTAATCACACTCCCCTCTCAGTTGGGAATAGCTCCCACCTGGTTAATTCTTCTTTATTACAGAAAATTTCAAACCTGTTTAAAAGAGGAGAAAACAGTCTAATGAGCCCCCATGTGTCCATCACCACCCAGCATCAACAGTGATCATCTCAGGGTCACTCTTGTTTCATCTAAGCCACCAACACTGAGACATTTCCCCCTGGTATTTGTTTATTTTTAATTTTAAAGATATGGGGTACAATTCAGGGTTATGTATACAGATGTTCATTATGCAGGTATCCTTGTTGATGAGGTATACCCACCATTACTCAGCAGAATCCCACTACTGCCAATTCGCCCGCCCCCCACCCCCACCAGCAATTTCCCACTACTGACAATCCTTTTCTTATGGTATTACAATAATTGTTCAAAGTCTACTTATGAGTGAGAACATGTGATACTCAGTTCTTTGTTTCTGTAATAGATCACTCAGTATTATAGACTCTAAGTCCATCCAAGTTGCTGTGAAGTTAATAATTTTTATCATTTTCTTTCTTTTTTTTTTTGAGTCGGAGTCTCACTCTGTCACCCAGGCTGGAGTGTAGTGGGATGCTCACGGCCACCACAGCCTCGACTTGCTGGACTCAGGTGATCCTTTCGCCTCAGTCTAAACCACAGGTGTGTGCTACCATGCCCAGCTAGTTTTTTGATTTATTGTAGAGACAAGGTCTCATGATGTTGCCCAGGATGATCTCAAACCCATGGACTCATGCAATCCTCTCGCCTCAGCCTCCCAAAGTGCTGTGATTATAGGCGTGAGCCACTACTCCCGACTTCTGATCTTTTTTTAAATGAACACTGACAATGTATCATTACACTAATAAATATTTCAGTATGTATCTTTAAGAGAAAGAGTCCTTTTTAAAAAATACCATTTTTAAAGTGTGGTCCTCAAATGACTTCAATGAGAATCACCTGTGATACTTTCTGGCACCACTGAGGCAGATACTTTGGGAGTAGGGCCCATCACCAGCATTTTATTTTTCTTTTGCCTCTTCCAGATTTTTTATTTATTTATTTATTTATTTTTTTGAGTTGGAGTTTCACTCTGTCGCCCAGACTGGAGTGCAGTGGTCGCTCCCGGCCACTGCAGCCTCGACCTGCTGGGCTCCGGCGATCCTTCTGCCTCAGCCTTCCGAGTAGC